CTGCTTTCTTTTTTGAGGTGATTGGAGAGCTTGTAATTAGGGACCAGCTTGACTCTTTTTGATTAATGACTGAGCCTGGATATCAAGGGAACAAAGCTGGCACTTTACCAGTCACACCAGCTCCTTCCCTTCACCCATATTTACTCTGCAAAGGTCACAGAGCTGCACCGTGCAAAGATGAAGCAGGAAACAAAATTAGCAATAGGCAAATACAGATTTTTGGTTTATCTGTTCCAGTGCTTGTGAAAACAAGGATTGCAGATGCTCTGGTGACCTCCTGCTTTGTGTAGGATTCCTGCTGTACATGTGGGTATCTGCATTGTTGTTTAAATTCCTGGTGACTTCCAAGAAACAGCACCTTCCTCTTCATATGGGACAATATTTCAGGTGTCCTGAAGGAATCCAAGCCTGCCTTTCCAGAGTTTGATACTCTGATTTTGATGTTAATTTTTAATCCCATTTCATCACCACCCTTCAAGCTCTTTTCTGCCCTCAGGATTTCAGCCACTTCTTTCTTACAATGGGATCTTGAAGAATTTCTTAAGTAGTCATTTTCTTCCTTTCTGTTTGAAACTGTGATACCAAATTTGGAGAATTTGTCTTTGAGAGCTCATGTCTGTGCTTTCCAAACCCTCTGTTATTTGTTATCACCTGTAACAATACATGGATCTATGAATTCCTTCCATAAAACCTCCACACCCTGCATTTGGATGATTATTTGCCAGTTCCTTACAATTCTAGTTATAAGATTTTCTTTTTTTTTTCCCATTTTTTTCCCCTGCCATTATCACTGTTAGTAAAAATGCCTGTGCAGGAATGCACAGTGACCTCTTGTATGGTGAGGAAAGTCAAAACCAGAGCAGTGCTTGAGCAGCTGTGTGCAAATTGTGGATTTCTGTCAGTAAGAGCAACCTCCACCACTGCCAGGGGAGTTTGTTCCAGCATAAAGTAGGATTTAAGGTGCAAGAGGTACCTTGGAATTAAAGTATGGTGGCTAAACCAGACAAAGGCATCTGTAGGCAGGGATTAGGAATGCTGTGCTGAAAAGGCAGTTTTCCTGTGTTATTAAATAAACCTTCAGCATCTTGCTTATACAACAAAATTAATGAGGTTGTTGAGGTTAGGAGCAGTGTGACATGGAATGACAAGAGAGACAGGTCTGTGTTTAGCCCTCAGTTACTGCAGGAACTTCTGAACTCTAAAACACTGTGTGGGCAATAATACAAATAGACTCTACCTGAAGGGTGTTGATGAACACTGTTCCTAAAAGGAATATTGCAAAATATGCAATTTTCATCCAAAATGTCCCCTCCGTGCTGGTCCACAATGCCAGCTGTGCCTTAAGCTGTGGAAGCAGGAAAACTCAAGTTCCTACTTAGCTAGATTTGTTAATTTTTTAAAGGGATTAATAAACCTTTCAGCAGCAGGCAATGACAGAGCCGCAGTGCTGGAGTTGTTGTGGCCATGACCTGAGCTCCTTTTGCTTTCCTGCTCTCAGAGAGCTCTCAAGCACCTCCACTTTAAAGATAACCTTGGCTTAGGCTTGGATTTCATAAGCAATTTGCAACCTGTGAAAACACCACTTCATTCTGTAGTAAAACTCCTTGCTCATAAAAATCCCTCCCCATTCAGATCCATATGTAAGAACAAGGCAAACTCCTACAGGGATATTCTGAGGCACTCCTGCTTTAGAACATGAGCTTTGTATTCAGAAATGTTTTAGCCTGTTTCCTGCAATAAAGATTAAATTGTCGCTCAGGAAGCAAAGCTGCAACATGTGCCTTTGACAACGTAATCAAACTTTATATAGCCATGTTTTTATTGTTTTCCTTTTGTTTTGCTCTTAGATGACTAATTTCTGCCTAAAAGTGACAGCAAGCGTTGCCATCTGAGAGGCCGCTCGGAGCTTTATTTCTATTTTAAGCATATTTAAAGCACATGTATTCACAAGTGTCATTATGTAAATCAGGTTTGAAAATTGAGCTCCATTAAAAATTGCAGTATCATTTTCTGAGCTAATCCAAGGCTATTTTAATCTCACAAATGAAAAAATAACCCCACAACCAAACCTCAGGTTTTTGTGAGGAGCGGCACTTCTACCTCTGATGTTGTAATTGCTGTGCTAATATTGTCATAATATACATTGGATTCTTAGTGGAGCAAAATGTTTGCTCTTCTTGGATTTCCAACTATTCCAAATTTCACTGACCTGAGATTTGGAATATTTGGAAATTCCACTGCATTGCTTGGAAATAAAAATTGATAGTGGAGTCCAGTGTAAGGAATGATTTTGGTACTGGTGAAAATGTTCAACCCTTTAAAGGCTTGGTTGGACTAGATGATTCTTGAGATCCTTTCAACCTGGTATTTTAGGAAAGGAACTTGATATTAAAAAACAGGCCTAACAAGGAGGTTGGGTATTATGTACTTTTATAGCTTAAAGAAAACTCTGCATGTTAGGCAGAGTGGTGATGGTGGTTTGTTTTTGTGTGTGGTTTTTTGTTTTTGTTTTTAAATACCGCCCTGAGTATTGAAGGGGATTTAAATGTAACTGTGGTGTTCTGGAATGGCTGTAATGGCATGGGGTTTCTTAAATACCAGCAAGAGAAAACCAAAAAGTTTCTCATTTTACATGGACTTGTTTCATTCACCTGCTTTCAAAAACCAGAAAAAGCTGAACTTCCTGTGGCAACAGTGTGAGAGCTTCACTGGAACTGGGCCTTTGTAGAGTCTGCTGTGACTTGGGTAGGGAGCACTGCAAATGAAGGCCTGGATGTTGTTTCTTTGTAGTTTCTGAGGTCCTGGGGACTTCAGTTCTCCACTGAGCTAACAGGGATAAAGGCAAATCTGTTACAGCTCCAACTCAGTTTCTTTTGGCAACCAAAGTCATCACTTTTTGCAAAGTCCTACAAGAAGCCATTTAAAAGTACAGTTTCATACACCTTTGTCTTAAGTGTGATTTAACAATTTTGGATCCCCACCTGCAGTTCCTAAGGGCAGATATTTCCCAAACCTCAGTTTACAGTACAGGGTTTAAAAGGCGGCCCCTTGGGACTGGCAGAAGCTGAGCAGGTGTGAATTTTTGGCCATGACAGAGGGTGAATCAGTATTTAAAAACCAGATAATTAATGCCATGTTCTCCACTGAGCTAACAGGGATAAAGGCAAATCTATTACAGCTCCAACTCAGTTTCTTTTGGCAACCAAAGTTATCCCTTTTTGCAAAGTCCTACAAGAAGGCATTTAGAAGTACAGTTTCATGCAACTTTGTCTTAAATGTGATTTAACAATTTTGGTGTAATGCACATCCCCACCTGCAATTCCTCAGGGCAGATGTTTCCCAAACCTCAGGGTTTAAAAGGTGGCCCCTTTGGACTGGCAGAAGCTGAACAGGTGTGAATTTTTGGCCATGACAGAGGGTGAATCAGTATTTTCAAAGCAGATAATTAATGCCATTCCAGCTGCCTGGACCTCCAGTGGTGCACCAAGAGCTCCCAGATGTGCCCAACCTCTGGCTGCTGTTCCAGACCCTGGGTCTTGCCATATCTCTCACTTCTGTAAATAGTCTGAGTGCTGTAAAGTGCCTTAAAAAGGCACCAACACCTGAGTTTAGAGCTGTGAATTGCTTTCTGTAGTGTTTATAGTTTGGGGTGACACAAGGAAAGGGAATCTGCTTTTAATTTAGTCTGGAGCTCCATACAGGATCTGTGTAAGCATTAAAGCATCTGCATGGCCAGGGTCAGTATTTACAGGCAAGGGAAAAAGCCAAATCCCACAACGCCCTCCAGCACCAAAATATCAGAAGTTACAATGTTCCCTTTTCTATAACAAAGGGAAACTATGTAGGAAAATGCAAACTTGTTAAGAGGCAAAATGTTTCATGGGGAATGTTTAAAGACACAATGTGCAAAATCTGAAGAGTGGTTGTTGTCTCCTTTAGGTAAAGAGCAGTCTGACAGATTGTGACCAAAAATAAAGAGTTTTGTGACTAAAAACCTCTTTTTTTTAAACAACAACAAAGATCCAAACAAAGAAAAGGGGGGGGGGGGGGGGCTACAGGCTTTGGCAAGTTAGATGTAAAGCAATAGTAAATTAGGCTAAAAGTGATCTTGAGGAGTAATTGGAAGGCTTTGAATCTAATAATAGTGATGGTAATGGCTTCAGCCCATCAGAAACAGCCTTCTCAGAAGATCTGTGAGGGTGATAAATGATCAGGACCTGAAGAGCTGTCAAGGAAGATAAAGCAGTTATAGAGAAGTAAATGAATTATTTGCATTGGTGTTTATTGGAAAGGATGTTGGGAGGGTCATTGCTATAACCATTTATTTCGGTGATGGACATAGGAAGCAGAGAAAATCTTTCAGATGGGTGTTCTTCTTGATTTGGAAAGATTCAAGTTAATTTTTAATCAAGATGATACTGGAACAGTCTTGTTTTGCATTAATGCAAATTCTTCAGCAAGAATTTATAGGATGAGCACAAAATATGATTATTGGAATTCATCTGGGCCTTAGTTTACAACTCTTGAGAACAAAATTGATGCGTGTGGAAAATTAATGCAGCATGTGTTTGATCAAAAAGAGAAAAATAGTTCCAAAGTAATGAAAGTAATGTAGTTGCTCATGATCTTCAAGGTGTATTGTGAATCACAGCTGCTGAAAGCCAGCAGAACTTGCATTCATTACTTGGGATTGTTCCTTTTTTTTCCAGTTTCAAACTTTCTTTCCCTAGGATATGCTAATATTAAACAGTGCTTATGAGTGATTGTGGAAAGAGGTTCCAAATAAAATCTGTCCTTTCTGAATTCTCACTGCCTGCTATTTTATTTGTTGTGAATTTCAATTTTGGAACAGCTCTTTTTTAGAGTTTTTATTGCAGCATTAGAAGCAGCCTTTTTTAGACATGAGATGTAGAAAGTTAGCAATGCAAATATGGATTATTCACCTTCCCAGAGAAACTTCATCTTACTGAAAAACTCTTCCTAACCTTTGTTCTTATCAGGGAGAAAGAACAAGAAACACAAGAAGAGGAACATTTGATGGAAGAAAAGAAAAAGAAAAAGCAGGAAGAAAAGAAAAAGAAGGAAGGTGCTCAGAAAAAGGTTTGTTCATGTTCCTGTTGTAATTGATCCTTTCACTTTTTAATGTGATTGTGGCTACTGATGCTGCAGCTCCACTTGTGGGAGTTTTAATTTGAAATAAGAATTGATGGCTGTCTTTTCTGGTATAAAAATCAGGCATCATAAAAAGTTCCAGACAGATTATAAAATAAACAGGTCCTCTGTGCAAGGTGGGGGCGTGGGTGGGTTCAAAGGGATGCTGGACAAAGCCACAGAAGTTCATTGTGGTGGATGCTCAAGGGTCCAGAAAGGCTCTGCCCCCCAGGAGAGGGAAGGCTGGGTGGGTGGAAGGGGCTGCTGCCCTCTCTTGTCATTCTTTACACTTCCTCTTTGGCATTTCCTTCTGGCTTCAGGCAGGCATTTCTGTCACATGGAGTTAAACTAAAATTCTCTAGTCCTTAAATGAAACAAATGCCTGGTTTATGTAAGCAGTTTCTGCAAAAAGTTTGGCCTGCAGCCCTATAATTATGAGGTATCACTTGCAGTATTGACAAGTGGTTGATTTGTTTTGTTCTTCTCTTCTTTCAGGCTGCTGAACAAAAAACCAAAGGTAAATTCATGTTTATTCTCTGTGAAATGTTTGATATTTTGATAAGCTTGTTTAAAAAATGTGCTTGTACTTTTTATTCATTGTGTCTGTTTATTGAGGAGAATATATCTTACTAGGATTGTTATATTCCTAAAGTTTTGTTGGGATTCTCAGCATAAGCTGTGGCTTATCTTGCTGGGTGTATTCTATGGCAGCCTTTTGACAAGAATATATGGATTAATTTTCTGTGAACCATAACACAGCATGTGTCATCTCTTTTGTCAAGACAGATGCAGTTTTCCATTTAGTTGTTAGTTGTTATTTATCTGTTTCAAAGACAAGTAATTGCCCCTTTCCCCTTGCACAATTCAACTCAATTTAATGTGTAAACTCAATTCATGGAGCTTGGAAGAAACTATTTCCCCTGCTGCCACCACTGCCTGTTTTTCTTTCTGTGTGGCTTTTCTGCCTGGGAAGTGAGTGGAGCTGCTTTGCAGCAGGGTCAGGAAGCAGCAGAGGTAAGAAATGCCTTTCCCTTTGGGGGCTCTGGGCTGCCAGCTTCCCTGGGAGAAAAGTTAATGAAGCTGTGCCTTTCAGAAAGGTGAGGGAGAGAGGCAAGGTAATGTCTTTCTTCTGCATCTGATGGCTTACAGAGCTTTTTGTGTCTCAGTTCTGAGCCAGCTCAAATGCATTGTCATTTCTTGGTGGGTAATTAGGTGACAGCCAGGCAAGTGGAGCTTCCCAGAGACCCAAAGAATGAGAATTAAGGAAGAGCCAAGCCTGACATAAAGGCTGGACTAAACAACTTATGTTTCTAACACTTATGATTTATTTATGTTTCAAACACTTAGGATTTATACAGCAGAAATGAAATATTACTTTGGTGAGATGAATTCAGAGAAATAAAGTAATAACTGCATGATGAAGATACTGTAACAGTAATTTATCAAAATTTTGTCCTTTTCTTCCTGAGTTTTTATGTAGAAAGGGAGAGGTCAGAAAGTTTTAGTTTAAATTCTGTAGCATCTGCACTGTGAGATTTCATGTCATTTGTAACACTGGATTTTACTTTCAGGAGAAGGGAGCAGAGGTATGTGGGTCCCATCAAAACTTAGGTACATGAAAAACCTTGGAATTAAGATACATAGGAGCAATTTCTATCTAAATGGAATATTTCTGTTTTCACAGCATTGCTTGTTTTGTTCTGTGTATCAGCTCATTTCTGTGTGAAAAGGTTTCACTGTTCTATAATGGATTATAATGACTTTTTAATATCACAATTCAGCAGCAGATGTTTTTGCTGTCAGGGTAACTAAATTCATTTTCACGTGGTAATGCCGTGGCTCTTCATTTCTGTTAGGAGTGAGACACAGAGCCTTCTGCTTTCCCTCTGTGGGATGTTACTATTTCTGTCTGTGTTGTGACAGCTTTGCTTTTAATTGCTTGAAACTGCCACGTTCAAGTTTCTAGTTAATAACCTCAGTTTTTCAGGTATGCTTGTGAGTTTGTTTCTTTCAAATTTAGGGACTGCATTTCTCCATCTGTTAGATTTTTTTGTTCATTATCCATGTATTTTAGCATCTTCTGCTGCCATAAAATATGGATCAGGGAGAAGACAGCAGTGGATCAGGATAGTTGTGTTAGAGATTAAGCAGCTTTGGCATTTATTGTTTACTCTGTCAGAGCAGTGATGCAGCTTTTTTGTGGTTCAGCATCACTGGAAGGGGGGACCTGTCCTACAGAGAGCCCAAACCTCCTGTTCATGCTCAGGGCAAGGGCCAGGGGTTATTTACAGTCCTGTGAGTGACCCTTCTTTGAATTTCCTTTGTCTGGCAAATGCTCCTTGCTTTTCAGGTTGCCCTGTGGAAATATTTTATTTCCTCTTTATAGTGCAGTTCCTTACATTTATCTTTAGGAGGGGTGTGCATGAGCTTATGAGAGGTAGCGGGAATTTCTTAAAATAGATAAAATATTATTACAAAATTAATGAGAGAAAGCTGACTGAACATTTTTCCTACAATATTCAGAGTTGACTGTAAACTTTATTGCAATGCTGCACCAAGTGCTTTATTTGGATACATTTTCGAGGATAAGTGACACATGCTACTAGAACTAAAAGGCAGCAGAGGAATTATCATTGAATTTAGTTAATTTATTTCCTATCTGTGGCAGAGCAATTAAATTATTTGTGATGACAGCATGGCACAGCAAAACTGAGTGAGTGGACTGCAGCAGGTAATGCATGGCAGTGGGCAGGATGTATTAAATCAGAGATTAAAGCTGGACATTTTGCAAAATGTAGATTTTGGTAGGTGAGATCTTTATAAATATTATTTAATGGAGCTCTTTGTGGTAACTTAAAAAAAATTGTTTAATTTTATGTGTGTGTCGCTGAGTTCTGCAAGTGGGTTGCCATGGCAGTGAGAGGTGCTTGCACTAGTTGGGTCCTAGTGGAGAAAAAGAACTCACACAAGTGCAGGTGGGATCTGGCAGGGTTTGTCAGGTTGTTTTTCAGCTGGCTGGGGCAGGGTGTTTGTGCAGCCCCTGTTTGCTCTCAGCAGTGTTTGTGAGGAGAAGGCACTTGGCTGAAGTGGGTAGAAAGGGCCAGGTGGTGAGGCTTGAGAGGAAGGGAGGAGTTGGCTTCTTCTGTGCTAGAAACCTGTGACCAAGGTCTAATTGTTTTTAATTAATAGTTAGTTTTTCATGGATTTGTCTGTCTCAGAGCTGTGGAGTTGCTGTCCTGGCCAGTAATGGACTCGTGTGGTTTGTTCATGTAGCTCGGAGCTGGTCTGGGCTGCTGCAGGTTCAGTCTCTGGTGAGGCCTCAGGAAAGAGAAGGGAAGAAGGAGGAAGGAGGTTTCCTGTGGGGGTGTGTTTGTGGTGTGTTGTCAGTTCAGCCTTGCTCTGAGGCCTCAGCCCCAGCTGAATGTTTCCATTTGTGATGTGGAGCACAAACCCTTCCAAAATAAACACACATTTCCACCCTTAGGGGAAAGGTATGTGCTGCTGCTGGAGCCCAGGCTAGCAGTGCTCCCTCACACAGCTCTTGCATCCACTGAAATAAATTCTTTTCTCTTTTTTAACAATGATCCAACCCTTTAAATCTTCTCTACAGCTCCTTCAGTTTCTATTTTTTTCCCTGCAGCGTTGTTTGCCTGAGTATTTTTGTGAGGCTGGATCTTTTATAAATACCCCGTTGGCAACAATTCTAGGGAATGTGAAAAGAAGAGAGATTGGAGAGCTGATAAAGACCTGAAATGTTTCTCAATTACTTGAAAACAAATGAAAGTAGTCTTCCTGTTCAGCTGGAGAGAAGCACTGCAGAATTAGATGAGGTGGGAAATGAGCAGGTTTTTATTGCAAATTCAAGTTGTTGTTCTTTTATGGTAATTTTTTTTCAGAACAGGACTATTGAGCACAGGCTATTAGTGTTTATTTTACATGTATAAACTCTTGCCAGTTTATGTGCACTTGATCAAGAAACTTTGTGTATAAAGGCTTTTCTAATGAAAACATTCAGCTGTAATTGTGAGCTCTGTTCTGTGTGGTAAAGGGTCACTAGTATGGGAATGGCTTTTATTTAATAACCACAGGGGCTTTCAGGGAGCTGTGCTTGTCATAAATACTGCCAGGGTGGGTTTTGCTGCCTGCTTCTCTTCTAGCCATCCTCCTGCAGGTTTAGTCAGCACAGGTGATCAGTTCCTGGCCTGCTCCCCTCCCACCTCAGCTGAATGCATCTGTTTAAAGCTGATATAAAATAGCTGAAGTTGTTTGTTACTCAAACATCCACCCTGGTAATTGAAAGGCAAAATATCCATCCAGCCCTCCAGCTTTATGTGCAATAAAGGTAAGTGCTAGATCTGCAAACAGAGAAGTAAAAACAGTTAAGCCTGTATACTGCAGTTAGTGTAACATAAAAAGTATTTTGGTAAATATTTTTATTAGAATTGTTAGCTGGAAAATATTTTTATCCCTTGACTGTAAAGCACAGCTGGTCAATCTGTGCCTTTGGACCTCCATGATCCCTGCAGGTCTGTCTGGCATGTTCATGGCATGGGACCAGGCAGGGAGAGGTGGGCTTTCCAAGGGGAAAATGGGAATTTCAGCTCATGCTGGGTAGTGATGGAGCAGGATTGCAGGAGCTGGAGTGGCTGCAGTGACCCTGGGGCTCAGCACTGCCTGTCCTCTGTCCCAGAGGTGCAGTGGCTCCTGAGCTGAGCATCATCCCCTTCCATCTGTGCTCTGTGAGGAGCTGTCCCCTCCCCCAGGCCGTCTGGGCTGTGTGCCTTGGGACTCCTCAGAGTGTGATGATTTTAATATGCAGCCTGCAGAGTCAGGGAGCTTGTCTGCAGGCTGGGAGATTGCTCTGCCAACGTTTATGCTTTCATACATTTTATTTTGGGGGACTGAACAGAAATCATGTAACAGTGTGAGGTTGCTGGGTAAACCATTGTGGTGTCACAAATGTTGGCATACTTCCTTCAGGTTATCTGGCAGAGTTGGATATTTTACCTGGAGGAACATGCTCTGCTCTATTAGAAAAGAGAGTTAAAAGGAAAAAATAGATGAAAATATCTAAGACTCCATCCCCTGCTCTGGCATTTCTGTTGGGATGACAGGAGTTGCAGCATACCTGTTTCCAAAGCTGGGTTAATTTTATTTCCAAATCAGCCATGTAGATCATTGCATATTTGTAAATTGATTCTTTACTTACCCTGCCCAGATGGGCTGTTAGAATTTTCTCTGCCTGTGCTCATGCGTGTGTGAATCACCTTCCTGTAACCTCCATTCTGCTCATACAGAAATGAAGTTTGTGTATATTGATAATGTGCTCCTTCTGGCTGTGGTAGATGTTATTGATGTTTAGTGGTAGTTCCATAGGAAAAAGGGAAAATGAAACTTTTTTAGAGAATCTCATCAGGATTTTAAGTAGATTTCTGACAGAGTGTAACACAACCAGTCTTTTCAAAAGAAAAGTCTTGAGTTTTTCTAGTTCCTGTCATATTATTGTAGGAACCAGCA